GCGGGGGGGGGGGGGTGGTGGGGTCGGGGGGGGTGGTGGGGTGCGGGTGCGGGGGGGGCGGTGGTGGTGCTCGGGAAAGGGAAAGGGTGCGGGGGGGGGGGGTGGGTGGTGGTGCTTGGGAAAAGGAAATGGTCCTGGGGGGGGGGGGTGGTGGTGGTGCCCTGAAGCAAAGTAATTGAGAAGGGGGGGGGTGGTGGTGGGCAGGGACCCAAAAGTTCCCACGCATAAAAAACGGGAACTCTCGAATCGAGGAGGCCTGCGGCCCAGTCAGAAGATGTTTTGAAGCCCAAAGCGTCGGACATTGGGCCGTGCTAAACCTCGAGCCGAGGTTTTGGACTATCGGACTCGCATTTCGGGGGTTGAGTATTCGCCTTAGGAGTAGCTTGAGCAAGTTCATTTTAATGGCTTCCTTGCTTCAGCGAAGTCCATTTGCTGAAGGTCTCATCATTTGCTGCCTGAAAATGGGGTTGCTGCCTTACCGTGCAACGGCTTTTGCTTGAGAGATGGTTGTGAGTGGAATGTGCAGATCTCAGGCATTGCCCTTTGATCAAGTCCAACGCGAGGCAGATGATACTTGCATACACATGGCTTGCACATGCGTGCTATGTTCGCCACATTGGACTGAAGTGTTACATGCTAGGTGCTAGACTTGATCTCTGTGGAGACCATCCTGGTTGGTGAACACCTTGGAGCATAGGTTGGATTCATTTCAAACGCAATGTGCCTCCGAATTCCTCTTGAGCTCACATGAGGCCATTCGCTACACAAGGACATTTTGCAGATGGCTTTCCTCAGTTAGTGAAGCGTGGTGTTCGCTACGTGAAACAGTTGTCATCATCAAGTTTGCCACCACAGGACTTGCGGGCTTTGAAGATCCAGCCGGAATCCTGGTGGGGCAAAGCAAGACAGCAGCTGTAGCAGACAGATGAAATTGGATATATTTTTTGCAGTTTGCTCTTGTCTTGGGGAGGGAGAGGGAGCGTGTGTGGGCATGCTGGCGGTGAAAGGAAAAGCACAAACCAAGGCATGCCAAAATTGTGGACACTGCGCTGATCTTTGCCGTTGAAGGCCACCTGTGACTTGGGTGTTTCCTTTGTACCCGGACAGCAGGTGGAAGCCAACGGCGGAGACACAAGCTCAACAGCCTGGTTACCCTGATGAGGCCGAAGGCGCGTTCTACAGCACTTTGTCGGTTCAATGCACTGTCATCTTTTTGCATTTTTGCATTCATTCGAAGCGTTGAAGGTTCCCACTCTGCAGCCCGTTCGACCTGGTGCGCATGATCCTCGACAGGCCAAATCCAAGAGAACATGAATGTGTTTGCAAGTCAATAATTTGAAGATCCTGTTCGCTCCTCCGAAGCATCCGCCCAAGGTCCAGCTTTGCCCAATGCAAGCACCCAACACATTCGCCAGCCTGCAAACGAGCCCCGCAGACCCAAATTCAAAGCGGCTCCAAAAGACCAAACAAACGCGTCATGGCTTTCGAACAGCTGCATAGCTTTTGACCAATCCGCAGTTCTTGGACCTTGGACGGCCCGCAGTATAATTATTCTGCAACCTGGAACATGCCACAGTGATCCTTGCACTTTGCAGGATGCTCAATGGGCCTTGCAGTTGGCGCTGTATGAGGCTGATTGCAATGCCTTACAGCGCAAAGCAAGTCAAGATGGTCTAGCTCGCCAGGCATCCATCCATCCATCCGCCACAAAGCCGTTGAAGTGCTGAACTTAGAGGTGTCGTGCAAAGATGCAGCGTTGGACGAAAAACATCTCCAGGCTTTTGAGTTTTGAGGCTTCTTTCTTTCCCAAAGACGATCTTCCTCAGCGAGATCCCAAAAGGGACGACAGCCAAGGCATGATAGGGAAAGCCAGTCTTTCCTTCAGGCAATTTGCAACACGCAGGAGCTTCAAGCATTCTTTGCTCATGGCACATGCGCAGAGGCCGGCAACCTTGAAATCTGTGCCAGCGTGAATGGCTTGTGGAAGTGCCAAAGAGCATCTCTTGATGGAAGGTCAACTTTCATCTGCAGTCCGAGACTTCGAACTGGTTGGGCACTGCCACTGTGACTTTCGGATCACAGGCTGTGAGTGATCACCTGCCATATGGGTTCTGTAATCACTGTGTGTGTGTGTGTGCAGGGAGAGCGAGACAAAGCATTCACCGACCTGCCCCGCTTCGTACCCTGCTTAGTACATCCATTTACGCAAAGATTCCGCATCATGTTTTTGGGCTGTGTATTTTCCAGCTCCTGGCTGTTTGGCCGCGTCCGTCAGGCAATGACTCATTGTATTTTTACTTTCCATTTACCTCCTTAGAAGGTATTCAGGGAGCTTGCTTTTGGTTGGCACACCTCAGGTCCGAGTGTACGTTGGGCCGCTTCGAGATTGGGCTGGCAGGATGAAGACTCAATTTTCAAATTTTGCATCAGCCCTCTGTGCTGGAAGGACGGACACGGCCAAAATGCAGGCCCAGCTGAAAGAGCATTTCTTGAAATTTGGCCCATGCCCTAGATGCCCAATCGCTTTAAAATTTCAGCGGAGGCATGGCCAGTCTCTTCCTTTGACCGCAGGCAGAGTTCGGAGTTGCCGAGTGATGTGCCCCAGAGCGTTTCCTGGGCAGTGCGCAGCTGAGCCTCCTGCTGGGACATTGGTTCCTTGCTGACATGTATGTATGTATGCCTACAACTGTATGTATTCAGATTCATTAGAAAATATAAATGCAATATGCATGTAATGTAACATAAATGTAACGTAACGAAGCGAAGCGCAATTTAATGTAATGCATAACACAATGCAATGTAATGTAATGTAGTGTATGTAATGTAAGTTATGTAATGTTGTAATGTATGTACTGTATGCAAGGTAAGTAAATTAAAGTAATCTAAGTATGCACGTACATAAGGCGTGTATGTATGTAAGTCATGCATGTATGCATGTAATGTAATGTCATGTGCTCAACATAATGCAATGCAGTGTAATGTAATGTGTGTAGAATATCGGCTTGTATATATGTATTTTATGTGTGTATGTAATTTAAAATATTGTAATGTAATGTAATGTAACGACATGTGGGTATGGGTCAAAATTAAAGCACCAGGGGACCGCAGGTTTTGGTCCATGTTTCCATTTACCAGGATTCCATTTTGGGTACATATTTGACCCACAGCCATGTATGTTAAGGAAACGTATGGGAATGTAACGTACGGTAATGTAATGCAATGCAATGCAATGCAATGCAATGTAGTGTAGTATAGTGTAGTGTAGTGCAGTGTAATGCAACGCAATACCATGCAATGCAATGCATGTATGTATGGTATGGTATGGTATGTTTTGGCCTGTATGTATGTAGGTATGTGTGTAAGTATAAAAGTATTCTCAAGTTGGCCATACTTGTATGGTTAAACTAGCATGTCATTGGGCTAAGTACTGTTTGCAGGCTGCCTTATTCTCACGGGGACTTGACTTGGACGGTTTTTCCTCTTCCTAGTTTGGTCCTAGTGCTAGCTTAGAGATCCTTGGGCCTAGTCTACTGAAATAAGACACTATGAAGGAGCTTGTCGAGGATATTATACTGGAAACTCGGTGGTTATGAGAACTAGAGGCAACATCGTCTAGTCCTAGTTTGGTCCTACTTAGTAGTTTAGGGATCCTTTCTACAAGAAGAGTTGAATGGTCTAGTCCTAGATTCCTGGTAGTTGAGAGATCTCTGGCTCTTTGGTGCCAGTGTACCGAAGTAATTAGATCGTATGAAGGCCATTGGAGACATTCAACTTGAGTTTCAATTGCTATAAGCATTGGAATCAATTTGTCTTGTCCTAGTTCGGTCCGAGTGCTGGTTGAGAGATCCTTAGCTCTTGTCCTATTTGGTCCCAGTGCTGGTTGAGACATCTTTCATTCTAGTTCCAGAGAAAGAAAGGTAGGTTCATACACGCACATGTGCACAATATATAGTTGTTTGGAGTGCTGTACGATGGGCTCTTATTGTGCTGCACATGTTCGCCTGTGTCCTGTGCTCGTTTGCACGATTGCCGATCATAACAGTCATGACATTGAATGGTGAACATGTGCTGTTGGCAATATGTTAAGCAGATGTGCTGAACATCCCCGTAATTATTTGCATGGGGCCAACATGATGCTGTGAGAAGGTGCCTACTTGGAGCAAGTCTGGAAGCATTGATGGGTAACAGCCGTTGGGGAAGATCCGAAGGTCTGCACTCCCGTTTGGCCTGCTGGAATGCCATCCAACTGCTGCGCGGGTTGTCCTCACAAATCGCCAGGCCCTTTGCCAATTGGAGCATTCGGCATGGGTTTGCTCGATTTGCCGATACTTTTGGCACGCTCGATTTTCAGGGCAGTGCACCGCACGTTGCATGCCGCAGCCCAGGGGCTCAGAGGCTTAGGATGTTTCTCTAGAGTTTTAGAATGCCATGGGCAGGCGCCTCAGTTCTCGCGAGAGTTTGCACCTGTGTTTGCACACTCTGAAGGGACTTCTCCTTGCACTTCTAGCTGAGTGTGTGGCAGAGGACGATTCCTCACCGAAGTGCTTGCATCCTCGCCAGATTCTATTGATAGTCTCAGCTGTGGATGGCGAGGAATATGGTGCTTCCGAGATGTTTGTGAGAGACCTTCTGGGTAAGAGCCAGGCTGGACCATGCTGGTGAGAGCTGTCGGAACTGCTTCTGCATGTGACACACAGCCTGGTCGTCCTGACATGCAAGGCAGATGTCGACAGAGAGCGCGAACTGGAGGCGACATTTGCAAACTTTGACCACGACAGGCGCGGATGTGCTAGCTGAGTTTGACGGCGACAGACCCTTTGATGCTCTTGAGACAATTCAATTGTACGCGGCACAACTCAAAACACAAGTGAGCTGACATTGCCAGTGCTTGCGGGCATGACATGGTTTCAGGGATGGAGCACTGAACAGATCAGAGCCGGTTGCCTAGTTGGGTTAACGTGGCATGACACGTGTAAAGAGTGCACAGCACGCACTCACTGATGGAGCGGTGGCAGAGTTGCGGAATTGCAGACCTGCACTTCTTGAGGTCGTGGGCTTGGTATCGCTTTCTTGATGAAGATGGAGAGGACTCACCTGCCAATGCAGCACGAGCTTGTCAGATATCGCTCACATGATCCAAACTCAATGTCATTTTGGTGCTAGGATGCAGAAGTCACAGACCAGCACCGTGCAGCCTTCCTGGAGTTTGACCAAGACAATGATGACAGATTCTCACGTGCCGAAGTGCACGAGCTGCTGCAGTGCATGGACAAGGCGTGCCGGGTCAAACTCGATGCATTCAATTTCAACCATGTTTGCTTTCTTAGCCTTACAGGACCCTTACAGTAGCCGTACATCAGCCTTACAACAGCCTTACCTTAGCCTAATACATTTCACACTTTGCTCGAGGTTGAAGCGATGAAGGAAGCTGCAGACAGGGAAGAGGAAGGTGCTGATGAAGATTCGGAAGGGGAAGATCAGGATGATGAGGAAGATGAAGAAGGTGCAGACGAAGATGAAGAAGACGAGGAAGATGGGGAAGATGGGGATGAGGAGGCTGAAGAGGATCAAGATGGACCGTGATAGCATGAACGACAAGCAGTGCAAGCTTGATTCGGTCAGACGGTCAGAAGCCATCTTGCCAAGGTTGCAACGCTAGCATGTGTAATCGGCCACAAGCAGTGACAAGCGCGTGCGCCTGGCTGGCTTCGTATCTTTGGCGCAGGTTTGGTGCTAAACCAATATGTGTCATTTAAGGCACTGATCAGTGTGTTGAACTCAGGTATGGCTTGAACATAATATGTGTTTGCAGCTGCACCCCTTCATTTCAGCGATCCTGTTTTGCTGAGGAGCCAAATAGCCAAACCTTGTCGCTGGATCCCAATGTACATTCGGTTTCACCCGTAGTCAGGCCAGCACAAGCAAAAGCGACTGGCCACAGCTGCCGTTGAGTACAAGTCCAAATCGGATGCAGCATTGTCTATTTACCGTTCACGTTCCGCAGGCACAATCCTTTCCTGGACATCGGTCTCTCTTCAAAGTCAGCCTGGCAGAAGCAGAAGCCAATGAGACGCGCTGCCCACTTCTCAGCAATCTACAGAGAAATGCGCTTGTCTGAATGTAGCTTGAGAATGGCACAATGAGCTGTCAAGACCGGCTCTCTCTTGTAAAGCTGGTGTTGGAGCATTGCTTGTTTTGGCCCCACTGCCACCCAGGTGCTGTACCATTGTCGAAGAACGGATCCTTCCTGGCCCGCTTAGGGTGAATCTGAGCATGGGTTCAGTAGAGAAATCCGCATTTGCGTTGCACTCTTTGCCCTGCAGGTGTGTGTGTGTGCTGTTGGGTGCAAGTGTTATAGCATTTCTTCAGGTGTACATTTGTTGCAACGTAGCAGACGAGCTTCTTTGGCAGCAGTCTTCAAGGGTCGATTGTAGCACAGAGATCTCGCAGCCGATCTAAAAAAGCCTTGGGCACTGCGCAGTCTTGTCGCTATCGGAGAGTGTTGCTAGGTTTCAGTTGTATGCCTTCCTGTGGTGTTCAAACATGGGATAGCCGTGGCAGGAATCCTGCAATGTATGGAGCAGGAGACAAACGATGAGTTGCGAACAGTCGCGCTGGAAGTGCTGCTGACATTGATGATTGGAGGGTGCGCATGACATGAGCAAAGCCGGGCATGAAGGCACTCTGACGGAAGGTCTACACGGACTCGATGCCCACCAACTCTCGTGCTGGAGGCAGACTGAGCCAGCTTTGAGGCCAAAGGCTCGTAAATTCCTCGCAGCTCGTGATTGAAATGCTTCACAATACAGCACCAGCGGGGTTGCGAGGGTGCAGGCTCAAGGCTCATGGAGGTTCATGGAGGCTCATGGAGGCTCATGGAGGCTCACGCAGGCTCATGGGGCCCCAGCTTGGACTTTTCGGCCAGAGCGAGCCTTGCAGGCCGGCGCTGTTGGTGTGCTGAGCTAAGGCCTTAAATTGCCAGCATCGCCATTGACGCCTTGAGTTTGTGATCTAAGGCCAGATCGCAGATCAGGAGGATATAACGGCTCTTGAGGCTCGCTTCCAGCACTTGTCGTTGGCTCTTCTCATGACTGGCAGATCCTTTTAGAACTGGCACGCATGGCTCCGGACTTCATGCTGCCAGACATCATAGAGCAAGGCCAGCTTAGGCGCGTATTCTGTTTCTCTTCCTGCAGCATGGACAGGTGCTGCGAACTCATGCCTTAAAGTCCTGGACAACTCTGTCTGCATCTCAAACTTTGACTCATTTCGACTTAAGCTGATATTTGTGCAGACAAATGCATGAGGGCGCTGCGCCGATGGACCAGCTGACAGCGTGCCAGCCTCGACTTCTTTTCTCACTTCATCCGTTGCAGTGCTGCTTCGCCTGACGCCCCAGACTGAACCTTCTCTTTTCGCTGACCAAGCGAGCTCCAGCACCTATCGCAGCCAGTGGTGCCTATGACATTGTCAAGGCTGCTGGTCGCCGGAGTCTTTCTCTTTGTCGTTCTTTGTCCCGCATTTCGCCCAGGGAGTGACAAACGTTGCTCTTATACCAAGACGCAACAAGATCATGAGCTCGGCGCTCTGAGCTTGCAGTGGTCTTGGCAGACCTTTTCCCTGACCCTTTTGCCAAGATTATTTGCGACCACTGGTGGAGCACGAGGGTGACACACCTGCTCTCACCAACATCAGGAGAGTACTTCGAATGGCACAGCATTAGGACAGTGGGATAAGCTTGAAAAGAACCTTGAGTGGAAGAGCAGGACTGCTGGGCGCAAAGTTGGAAAGCCGGCGTGACTCAAGCGACTCGTAGAACTCGAGGCATGAGCTGTGCAGCTCTACGAGAAAACAATGTACGATTGTGCAAGATAAATCACGTATCACGGTGCATCAGATTGTGTCACTGTGTGGGCTTGAGTCAAGTTCTGTGAGCTGTCAAGTTCAATCCAGGCATCTTTTTGACTTCAACAGGAGCACTCTTCTGCAAACAGATCGGATAGCAACTTGTTAACCGGCTCCGGCATGTGTTTCTTCATGTGTATACATATGTATATGTATGTATATATATATATTGACACGTCTGCCTTACGGCTTCTGAACCCTATTGCAAAACAGCTTAGCAGTGTTTTGGGCAATGCAGCTCTAGCAGCCCGCACATTCCATTCTCAGAATTGTCTCGGCATGGGCGGCATACGCACTTGCGGCTTGCCGCGGGAGCGTCCGCGACGCAAAGTGAGTGATGACAGCAGTGAGTCCGCCGGAGGGAAGTATGCAGCACCTCGGCTTGTGAGTCCCGTCTGTCGGGTTGCTCTTTCTGAGCCAACAATGTTCATTCGTCAAAGGTCCTTCTTCAGCTTGATGCGGACCGCGCAGCAGCAGCTATCCAAAGACTTGGCACATCGCCAACTTCACGATCTCTGCGCGACGCGCATTCAGGCCTTTGGCATGAATTGGCGGAGTTTGTGCAGCATCTAGCAAAGGCTTTGGCAGCCTGTATGATTGCCGTCAATGCAGACACCTAGCTGGTGACTGAGGCACTCTGGCGGCGTGCTGCCGCCCGAGTGCGCATTGCCAAAGAGGCAATTGGTGCCTGAACTTGTAAGCAATTGCCTGCAGCCTGCCAGGTCGCATGCAGGTATCGGGAGCAGGTGCTGAGCAGGTGCTGCGCAAATCTAACACCACGCCAGCAAGCGAAGGCTTGGAAACTGCAAGTTGTCAGCACGATCTACAGACTTGAAAATGAGGCTTTCGTGGCAGCTCGCAATCACCAGATCAAATGCTTGCGCACAGAGGTGGCCAAATTCAGGTGGGGTCTGACACTCCATCGTTCAACAGAACACGGGCCAGCTTATGGCCGGCTTGTGCGCTCTTTGCGTAATGTGCGTTGTGCCAGTGGCATCGCCTTCTATCTTCACAGAAGGCAGCGTGAAGCACAGATCCAGGAGCAGTTCTCTTCCCCTCCTATCAACTGTTTAGAAGATGGCGAGGAACACTTGGACAACGAGAAGCATCGCTTGCGGGCCCTGCTGCTCATACAGGCTCCTGTGCGTGCGAGTTGTTTGCTCTTCAAGCTGCGCGTGTTGACTCAGGCCTGGTGGAAAGGTTGTGTGGTCAGAGGATTTGAGGCGGCGCATCGCGTGTGAGCCTCACACGTTTTTGAACCGCTGTAAGCTGCAAGCTGTCAGCAGTCAGGTATGAGGAGCACATGTTTTGTTTGGTGTTTGTTTGCTTATCATAGAGTGTCCTGTTGCTTTGCTATCGAAGTTCTGTGTCTTGTCTTTGCATGTGAGTCTTGCAAGCCTGGCATGAAGATTGCAGGCTTGCAGTGTATGTCTCAATCCGGACACCCTCCCAATATTTCCATAGTTGTAGTTGGAGAGACTCTTCAAGGACCGGACTGCACATGAGCCTTGCATGGTTTCATTTAACGTGCTTTGTTGCGTTGCCTGTTTATTTTCCCAAAAGCCCGCAGCTTTGATGATGGCCAACATTCGTATTCCGACTTCCTCCATATTATTGTTCGTGGTGACAAGAAACCCTTGGGGGGTTGACTCCAGTACAAAAGTACTCTCAATCTCAAAGCAAGCAGTGTCCAAGACAATGCACATCTGGCATAGCACTACTATTAAGTGAGAATTCGGGGCTTCGCTTTTGGGCTGGACTGTCTCGCTTGCAGGATGTTAGAAGTCATGATGGCTCCCTTACTGAGTGTGACAACGGTAACAAAGAATCAAGAATCAAGACCATGCAAAGGGGATCCAAAGTTTTCTACCTCATGGGGGAACTACATGAAACAAAACACAGTGGACTACAAACCTAGTGAATCAATCTCTGGTGAAGGGCTCTACCTCGCACCAACCATCCCCTCTCCACCCAATCCACCCACTCCGTTTCCACCCACCACACTTACTACTGCACTCACTTCTCCCCGTACCACTCCACTCGCCAGATGCTCCGCTCACTCACTCACTTGCCCGCGTGCACGCATACACTTGCTCATGTGTGTGCGCGTGTGTGTGTGTGTGTGTGTGTGTGTGTGTGTGTGCACGCAAGGGGAGGGGAGGATTGAGGTGCTTCTCTGTATCGAAACCTGCATGGAGCTGGACCAATTTCGCTGCACACGCCAAAATCTCAAACACAACAACGTTGCTCCAAATTATGCCAGAGACAGCGACAGAGCAGGAGGGCGGGTGAGTGTAAGTGAGAGAGAGAGAGAAAAAGAGAGAGAGAGAGAGAGAGAGAGAGAAGAAGGAGAAAGACTTCACTAGACCAATATCACAAGTTCGAAAACAGCCCTAATCTCAAGTTTCATTTGCCTTCAAGCCTTGAAACCTGACCTTGGCACAAATGCAAGCATTGACATCGGCTGGAAGAAGTGCATATAGGTACTAGCGCCATTGATCGTGATGGACTGTTACTGCTATTCATGAAGTGGAAAGTGGAATCTTGGCCGTTTGCAAGGATCAATGTACTGAGCCATGCTTTTCCGTTTTGGGCAGTTCGGTGCTGGATTGTTGCAGTGTCCACTGACTTAACTTCATACTCGTTGAGGCCAAGCAAGAAAGAGATGAAAGGAGGTG